AGCATGAAAAGTTTTTCCATTTCTTTGTGTCTTCCTCAATTTCTTTCATAAGTATTCTTATTCTGTAGTTTTTAAAATACAGATCCTTTACTTCTTTGGTTGGGTTTATTCCTAGGTATCTTGTGGATTTTTGTGTAATTGTAAATGGGTTCAACTCCTTAATTTCTCTTTCTTCTGTCTCATTGTCAGTGTATAGAAATGCAACTGATTTCTGTGTATTGATTTTATATCCTGTCACTTTGCTGACTTCCTGTATGACTTTTAGCAATTTTAGGGTGGAATGTTTTGGGTTTTCCACATAGAGTATCAGGTCATCTGCAAAGAGTAAGAGTTGGACATCTTTGCCAGTTCTGATGCCTTTTATTTCTTTTTGTCATCTGATTGCTGAGGCTAGGACTTCTAGTACTATGTTGAACAACAATGGTGAGAGTGGACATCCCTGTCATGTTTCTGACCTTAGGGGAAAAGCTTTCATGTTTTCCCCCTTGAGCATGATATTCACTATGGGCTTTTCTTTTATGACTTTTATGATATTGAGGTATGTTCCCTCTATGCCTACATTGTGGAGACTTTTAATCAAGAAATGATGCTATATTTTGTCAAATGCTTTTTCTGTATCAATTGAGAGAATCTGTGTTTCTTGCTCTTTTTTTATTATTATTGTGATGTATCACATTGATTGATTTGTGGATGTTGAACCAAACTTGCAGCCCAGGAATAAATTCCACTTGGTTGTGGTGAATAATCCTTTTAATGTACTGTTGGATCCTATTGGCTAATATCTTGGTGAGAGTTTCAGCATCCATGTTCATCAGGGATATTGGTCTGTAATTCTCCTTTTTGGCAAGGTCTTTGTCAGGTTTTGGGATCAAGGTAATGCTGGGCTAGTAGAATGAGTTTGGAAGTTTTCCTTCCATTTCTAAGTTTTGAAACAACTTCAGAAGAATAGGTATTAATTCTTCTTTAAATGTTTGGTAGAATTCCCCTGGGAAGTCATCTGGTTCTGGACTCTTGTTTGTTGGAAGATTTTTTATTACTGCTTCAATTTTTTTGTTGGTTATGGGTCTGCTCACGTGTTTTATTTCTTACTGTTTCAGTTTTGGTAGTTTTTATGTTTTTAGGGTTTCTAGGAATGCATCCATTTTTTCCTGATTGCCCAATTTGTTGGCATACGGTTGCTCATAATATGTCTTTCTAACTGTCTGTATTTCTTTGGTGTTGGTTGTGATTTCTCCTCTTTCATTTTTTCCCACAATTTTCGAGTTACTTGGGCAAATTCTTCCACGTTTACTAATCAAGTTCTAGTGCTTGATCTGGAAACTGCAGGTCCTTCTAACTGCTGGTGAAAAAAATTCTCATCAAGATAAAAAATAAATATTTCCTCTTTCCTTGTAGAGAAGTGGATACTATCCCACATCTTAATACTGTCTTTGCAAAAGGTGTATCTGACAAGGTCTTCTCTAAGACGCCTAGATTTTGGACATGGCTGCATTGCAGGTATAGCTATGACCTATGAACTCCAAGATATCTCTGGTTTTAACTGTTTGCCCTGGTAATAAGACTTAAAATGCATCCTTCTCACAGTAAGCATTGTGTAATGTACTGACTTGTCAAAACACTATGTTGTACATCTGAAATGAATATATCATTGTACGTCAACTATAGAGAAAACAAACACAAAACAGAAAATAAAATGGCATCTTTATTTTACAAAAATAAGTACTTGCGAGGTTTCTTTCTTAAGCCCTGAGGAGAACATTGATCATTCCCTTCTTATCTCTTTGTAAGAAAAACCTACTCCTTTGTAATTTTTTTTCAAACAGAGTTTGGTGGCTTGGGCTCATTTAAATGAACCCAGGAGACTTGTAGGGAAAGCCTGGTAGGGAGATGCTGCTGGTTGGGGTTGGGGTAGGGGCGATGGGGATGAGAGAGTTGGAAACTGGATGGAACTGAGAAAGATTCTGGAGATTGAATTGAAAAGACTTGGGGGAAAGTCTGCACCGAGCATGGGAAGTGAGCAGGGAGTCCTTAAGCCTTAAGTCTTAAGTCTCTCAGCCTTCTTGCTTAAACAGGAAAAGAAGCCAGAGAGTAGAATGTCCCTTGAAGTCTGTTTATTCACAATTACTGGCTTTAAGAGGTCCTTTGTGCAAAATTACTCTCCTCAGAATGAAAATGTGAAGGTCATTGACTATACCTGATCAGAGTTGGAGGAAATGGGGGTGGCATGGCGGGGGTGTGTGACGCGGGTTCTAGGTGACTCAGAATGTGGATTTTCCTCCACAGACATCTCAGATGATGGATGGGACATGAACAGGAACAGAGCTCTATGCTGGAGTCCCCAAAGAGGTGGCAGTCTTGCTGGAGCTCTGCTCAGCTGTGTCCTCTGGCTGCTGAGAGCCTGGGGGTTTAGGGGAAGGCATATTTTACATACTGTGGAGACTGTGACACTGGATTGTTCTGAGAGAAATAAGGACAGGGCTGAATGGCTAGGAGAAATATGCTGGGACTTGAATTCTGTGTGATGGTAAGCATACAAATAGCTATGACCAAGCCATATATAAAAACAGAACTCTGACCCACAACGTACAACCACTAGTTCAGGAAGCAAACCCGCAACTCCTGTAGCAATCCTTACCAAATGACTGGGTTGTCATCCATGGCTGGATGTAACTGCCAGCTTCCCTCCTGTGTGTCCCCCTTCCAGTTTAGGACCAATAGGAGAAGGCCAAATATGCTTCCCTAACCAATCACAGAGGATGCCCCCACTTCTAGCTCCCCCATGTCCACACCTCTAGTTGGGGCACCCCTGGATCCTTCTCTTTCTTGCTAGAAAGCTTCCCACTCCCCTGCTTGCCTGTGAATCTCTGCCAAAGGCAAGCGGTGGTGGCTGGCTCCCTTCCTACCGAAAACTCTGGAAAAATAGCCTTTGCTTGTTCTCATGTGGGTGGTCTTCCTTTCCTTCTGCACCTGTCTCCTTCTGAGACCTCATCCAAGCTGTCTTGCTAGGGACCTGGGGAAGGGGAAGGCAGACTCTGAACCTGAGTGCTCCATTTTTCTCAGTGTTTGGGCAGAAGGTGATTCTTCCTCAGGGCTGATGCTGGCAACATCTGGTCAGTTAGTGCAACATTGTCCCAGGGCAGCGCAGAAGTATGATTGAGTAGGGAGGAGGGCTATCTGCTGGCACAGATTTTCCAAGAAATTGCTGTTACAAGGTCCTAAAATCATTTATCTTCTTTACAGAAAGGAAAGCCCACCAAGTTCGGAGCTGTAGAAGTGACCCGCATGGTGTATTCTCCTTTCCAGACAATTGGTACAGAGTATGCACAATATTTTCTGGCATTGGGTCTGAATCCTGGCTTTATCACTCTCCATTCTTGTGACCTTGGGCAAGCTGCTTCACTCCCCAGGGTTTGAAAGTCCCCATGTGTTTAGTTCGTGGACATTTCCATGCTTCTGCCTATGGTAGCACCAGGGTTCTGCCCAAACTCTTGAGGCCTGAGCTTGAAACCTGGTTATCATCCCTCCCACAGCATTCTGTTGGACAAAGCAAGTCATGGCCGAGCCCAGATGGAAGAAGAGATTGATTCCATGACTTGATGGAATGAATGGCAAAATAATGGAAAACTACCGTTGATGCCAAGGCAGGAAAATGCTACGGATCTTCTCTAAACCCCAGAGAGCTGGTTTTTTGCGGGGGGCAAGGAGAGACCTGAGGGACCATGATTGTGAGTGTCCAAAGCCTCTCTGTAACCAGGTCCCTCCCTTAGCTGTTGAGCACCTACAATGGGCAGCTGCCAGTAGATGCCTCCCAAAGAGGAGGGACAGCGGGAGAGTTTCCCCCAGCTGAGAGAGGGGGAGTATTTTATCATTGATGTTCCTTATAATCATGGGCACATGATGTTTTTTTTTTTAAAAAGCAGACCAGTCTTGGTGTTCAGTCAGTCTTGGTCTTCTTTTTCACTTCTCTACGGACTGTTGCTCCCTTATTGCCAACTCCCAGGGCAGACCACTCTCACTGGCCCCTACTCGTGCTGCTGTCAGAGTTAGACCCCACATCCATGGGCAGGATCCCACCTGGGGAGTGGATTGTGAGGAAGGGGAAGACCTTTTCCCCCACATTGCAGAGAGGTTTCACATGGTCCACTGGTCCACTCATTACAGCGGTACTGGCGCATTCTAAAGCCCAGTTAGACGTCACCTGCGAAAGGGATACATAGTACTGTCCCTGTTTCATGGATGGGGGACCAGAAGGCCAGAGAAGCCCAGAGACTTGCCCAAAGTCACGCAGCTAGGAAGGACCCTGGAGGCTTGACTATGGATGTAGTAGATTGATTGATTTTTAAAGATTTTATTTATTTATTTGAAAGAGAGAGACACAGCGAGAGAGGGAACACAAGCAGGGGTAGTGGCAGAGGGAGAAGCAGACTCCCCGCTAAGCAGGGAGCCCAATGCGGGGCTCGATCCCTAGGACCCTAGGATCATGATCTGAGCAGAAGGCACGAGCCACCCAGAATGACTGAGCCACCCAGGTGCCCCAGTGGAATTATAGAAACAAGAGGTTTTCTGTGGAGCATTTGAGGAGAAGGGAGCCCCCATCAATTTGGATTTTTGGAGAGGACCCATGGTGCCAGTTTGTCATGGTGGGAAACCGAATATGTTTAACCTCCAGCTCTGGGGAGAGAAGTCCTGGGTTGTAGTGCTTGCTAATTGCTCTGGTGTAATCATTCCCAACACGATGTCATCAAAGAGAGTCTGGAAGAGATGCACTCAGTGGGCTCTTGGGAGCCAGCAGAAGGGGCTCCCACAACGTGGCTGGGGGCATCAATGAAGAAGCGGGGGCCAGACGCACCATGGGAGTAAAGTGATGCTGCTGGCTGCCCCGTGGTCTCTTTGATGGGCTCTGCCATCCTTATGGCGCTTGGTCATGCATTTTCTGAAAGATTTGGTCCATCTGCAGCTAAGGAACACCGGCTGTAGGTGGTGGGGGTGGGGGAGGGAGTTGAGTTCTGCTTTTCTACTCTCAGGGGGGAAAGCATCCAAGAGCTTCACAAGAGTGGGATTTGCAAAATAACTGGTCTCAGTGGTTGAAGAGGCTCTGTGGGCCCGATGGATGATCTAGAGGAGAACGAGGGCGGCCTGCCTTTAGGACGGGGGGGGGAGAAGACGCTGGGAAGGCAGTGAGGGACCTCCCACCTGAGCCTGGCTTCGCAGCTGGGAGACAAAGCAGAAGCAAGGAGGAAAATTTACGATCAACAGATCTTTGCAGAACAATGGCAGCCAGATTAGTAAGTAGGAAGATATTCTAATTTCAACATGCATGTAAATTCTGTGCTTTGTGATTTTTATTTGGAATTACATATAGGGAAGAGGCATGACAGATGTCTCTTCCTGTCCAGGGCACTAAAGGGACTTATCCAGTCCCATCCCACTGCCTCCTGACCCACATCTGCCTTCTCCAGCCAGCACTTCACTCAAACACAGCCACTAATTGAACCTCATTCTTGCAGTAGGGTGGAGGGAGCTGTTTCTTCCCCCTGGATTAGAAGAAGCCCAGCCATCTCTCTCTGAGGGCATCCTCAGTAACAAAAGAGACCAAGTTGAGGCAGAACACACCTCACGAGGGCCACACACACACACCATCTCTGCAGAGAACATCCACGGACAGAGAGAACCAGAGAGACACCAAGCACCCGGCCGGCCCCCAGTCACGGGAGACCATCCTTGCTCCTGATCGTCTTCCCAGCGCCACGACCCAAGCACCCAGGAAAGGGTATTTGAAATTGTCATTACCATTCTCCGGTAGCATCTTACATACCTCAGGGCAAGGACAGTGGCATTCACTCAGGCAACGTATGGTCCCGCAGGCGCATAAGAAGGTGGGTCCTTCTTGTGATGTGCTCTGTGGAGGACAGACAGGGCTGGACCGGAGGGAAGAAGAGAGGCCAGAGGGATGGAGCAGAAAAGAACAAAGAGCAAGGTGTAAGAGTGAGGATGGGGGGCACCTCCCACTCCAGGCCCTTTCTCCCAGAATCCCACAGCCCCATCTCAGCATGAGGAAAAAGACATCCGACAATCCCAGCCCACGGGGCTCTCTTCCAAACACCTGCTCAGTAATCCTCCAAACTACCGAGATCATCAAAATCGAGGAAAGACGGAGGAACTGTCGTGAATCAGAGGAGCCTGTGGAGAAATGACAACTGAATGTAATGTGGCATCCAGGAGGCGGTCTCGGGACAGAAAAAGGACATCAGGGGAAAACTAACGAAAACAGAATAGCGAGTGAGGTTTCACGTACCAATTAATTTCTTAGTTTTGACAAATGTACCATGGTAACAGATGAGAGCATAGCGGACGCGGGGTGTGGCGTCTATGGGAGCTCTCACTACTATCTTTGAACTTCCCTGTGAATCTAAAATGACTCTCAAATTAGAAGGCTATTTAAAAGGGAACGAGGAAAAGAGACGTTGCTTCCTACTGGGGCACTTGGGGACAGTTTTGTGGACATGGTGTCATCTGAGACGTTGAACAGCATGCAGGCTTAGGTGGGATGGGGCTTACAGTGGGTAGAAGAGCCAGAGAAGAGACTCTGAGAGACAGAGGAGGGGACCTGGCTGTCACCGGGGCGCTGTTTGTCTCCCTGGAGCAGCGGTGATCCCTCTCCCTGCTCTGGTGAAAAATAAGTATGTTGTTCCCCCCAGAAACCTGCACACCGATGTTTATAGCAGCTCTGTTCATAATTGCTAAAACCTGAAAGCAACCAAGATGTCCTTCAGGAGGTGAATGGATAAATAAATGGTGGTCCGTCCAGACAATGGAAGAGTATTCAGTGCTACAAGAACATGAGCTAGCAGGCTATGAAACAACAAGGAGGAAACGCAAATGCATTTTACTAAGTGAAAGCAGCCAATCTGGAAAGGCTGCACTCTGCGTGAGCCCAACTACGTGACATTCAGCAAAAGGCAAAACTATGGAGACAGATCAGTGGTTGCCTGGGGTCGGGGGAGGAGGGGTGCGTAGGCAGAGCATGGGATTTTTTTAGGGCAGTGACATTTCTCTGTATGAGACTGGAATGATGGATACATGTCATTTCAGCTCGGTCCGAACCCATAGTAAGTCTAACACCTAGAGCGAGCCCTACTGTAAACTGTGGACTTTGAGGGGTGGCGACGTGTCTCTCTGGGTTCATCGGTCCTGATGAGTCTAGCCTTCTGGTGGGGAGTGTTGACAAGGACGCTGGGCATGGAGGTGGAGGGGAGCGGGCAAATGGGAAATCTCTGTACCTCCCTTTTAATTTCATGTTGAACCTAAGACTGTTCTAGAAACCAAGTGTTTAAAAAAAAGGGGGGGGTACGCCTGGGTGGCTCAGTCTGTTAAGCATCTGCCTTCAGCTTAGGTCATGTTCCCAGGGTCCTGGGACGGAGTCCTGCATTTTGCTCCCTGCTCAGCTGGGACCCTGCTTGTCCCTCTGCCTCTGCTCTTCCCCCGGCTTGTACGCTCGCTTGCTCTCTCTCTCTCTTGCTGACAAATAAATAAAATCTTTAAAAAAAAAAAAAAGGCAACCAGAATAGAAAACAAAAAACCAAGTGTGCTGGGAGTGAGCAGGTGTCCAGACGAGCCCTCTCCGCTGCAGGTTCAGCTGCTGAGCTCCCTTTGAAGACGCCCAGCCCTGGTCTGTCTGGGAGGCTCTGCTGTAACAGAAGTCATTCCAGGGCCCAGGGGAGCACCGAGCCCTTTCGTCACCGGGGCCGCAGGAGCACAGCAGACATCACACACTTACCAGAGTGCTTTGTGTTGGAGAATCCCTGTGAGTGGGCATTTCGCTGACTTTCCCCTGGGACTAAAGCCCCATCCCAGCCCTCCCCACTTTCTCCAAAGTCCTCCCTAATGGGAACATTTTGTTGAATGTAATGTCCACACGCATACCGCTCCCTGTTCATGGCGTTCCTGCCGTTTAGCCTGCCACAGGTCTCCTCCCAGGCCTGGAAGCCATGCTGATGGGCCCCCAGGTGGGCCACTCTCCTTCCATTAAGTCTGAAAGGTCAGCTCTCCCAGGCCCTTTGCTGCCCTAGCAACCCTGTTCCATCCTTACGGTGGCTGCTCTGGAAAAGGGGAAGAAGCTGAGTTGAAAACTCTGATTTTGCCCATTCCATCCTGATTCCCAAATAATTGACCTGGAGACCAAGACGAGCTCCAGCCTACAGAGCTGTCTGTCTTTTGAAGGGAACCAGACAATAGCTAAAGGGACTAATGCTGTTTCTAAGAGTGGACGATGGTGTGTCCTATGAAGAAGCCCAGTTTGGATGGTCCCTGGTGCACATGACAGCTTCGTGATAGGACCCAAATTGGAAGAGGATCCTGTGACCTCCAAACCAATTAAATGTTTTCTCAGGAGCGGGGAACAGCTGCGTGAGGAAAGCACTTGTAATTGCTCTGGGTAGCAGGTGAATGTTTTTCTGCCACCAGAAGTGGCTCTAGCCACCGTGGGAGGTATCGACTGTGGGTGTTGTCTGGGTCTGGAAAATTGAACTTGGAAGCAAGAGAAGTGACATTAGCAACCTGGCATTTTCAACAGACACTCTAACAAGGCAGAGTGGGGCTGCTGGGGAATAATTACTTCCAACTATCAGGGAAGTTGTCTGGGCCAGAAACACGTGCCTTTGACACACGACTTGCAGAGGGGCAGAGAATTTGGGGGTGGGGGTGGGGGTAAGGTTTTGGAACCTCTGTCCCCAATCATGCCACTGGAACTGCATCCAAAAGTGTTTCTTGAGATGATTTCCTGGGGATAGAACTTTCTAGAACTTGATTGTGGTTGATGGTCACGCTATTATAGTCATCTGTCAAAACAGTCATTAAACTGTAAACTTCAAAGGGTCAATTCTATGATATGGAAATTATTCCTAAGTTTAAGCACACGCAGAACACACTGACCCAGTGTCCCTTGAGACTTCTCCCTTCACCCAGACCTGGGTGGGCCTCTGCCCTGCCTGATGCTAACCTCATGTCCTGCCTACAAACCCTAAGGCTCCTTGTATAATTCTTCAAAGGACGAGAAACAGCAGCCACCAGCACAGGATTTTGAAAACTTAGAAACCTCTAAAACAGGGGTCTACCATTGTGGATACTCCTGGAACCACCGCCCCCGCCCCCGGCTCTGACACCCCAGACCCAGGCTCCACCAGGTCCCTGGTGACAGAATCCCTGGGGATGCGACAAGGCCTCTGGACTTTTAAGCCCCTCCCCCACCCCCCATGATAGTTTTATGAACCTCAGCTTTCAAGTCATGAGGAGTGTTTTGTGTTTCCCACCCTTTGCTCTTACATCTCTGGAGATAGTGTCAGAAGACAATATTTGAGGTTCTGCTCTCTCCCTCCTCCAGGTCCCCCAAACCCTCCAATCCCGCAGGTGCTTGGGGGCCCTCAGATTTCCATCTTGCTGCCATGGTGGGAACTCAACAGGCTCCTCCCTCGACCACCCAAGGATCCACTTGGAACTTCGACCCTGGGTTCCCGCTGCCTCCCGACACCTGCCACTCCTCCCTCTGTCCCCGGGGATGTGTGAACATCCTGTGTCCCCGGAGGAACCTGGAACCTGGAAATGAATTCTGGTGCCAAGCCCCCTGTTGGTGGTAGGATTTCTTGAGGGCGCCGGCTACGGGGGCAAATCAGCCCCCCCAACCTCAGGCTTCTCATCAGCAAGAGGTGGGAAAGGGATATGGAAGGACCCACTTGGGAAACTCCAGCATTCCACACCTAGCTCTCTCTCCCCCATGGCTCCCTGGAGGGCGGGACCTCACAACCTTGTCCTCTGTCTCTGGATTGCCAGCGGAGTCACCACAGTGATCCCGTCATCCTTTGCCAAATTCGTTATTGCTGAACCTTGTTTCTCCTGGGGAAAGCTATTTTCAGGCTGGCCGGTGACCTCAGAGCGCAGTGCTGGCCTCCTCTGGAACAGCTGCCGGTTCCTGTGGGGAGGCTTCCGAAGTGACCCAGATTTCCAAGTGCTCCTGTCCTCAAGGAAAGGCTGTGCCCGTGGCCACGCCTACCCATGCACCAAGGGGCAGGATCCTGAGCCCTGCCCTTCCACACCTTCTGGCCCTTTCTTGTGTAGCCCTGATGGGCATCAGGCTGTCCCCTCTGGAGGAGAGACTCGGGGAGCTCCATGGGGAGCGGTGTTGCATTTTGAAGCTTTTCCAGAATTGATTGGTTGGGATCTTTTTTTTTTTTTTTAAAGGGTCCCTCCCTCAATGTTGGCAAAGTGGCCAGGCTGCCAGAAAAACTACGACATGGACACGGACTCTCAGCCCTCATCCGATTTCCCCACCTCCTCAGAGCCCCGGGGAGACGCATATCACACCCCAGGGCACTTGTTTCCCATCAGAGGTGCTGAGTAAAGGGCATGTGCTGTACTTGGCAGAGTGGGACTGAAGTGGGGAGCTCAAAACAACAGAAATTGATTCTCTCACAGTTCTGGAGGCTGGACATCCAAAATCAAGGTGTCCGTGCTCCCTCTGATGGTCCCAGGGAAAAATCCTCCCTTGCCACTTCAGGGCCAGGGGCCCCCCTCCCCTGCTGCTCTGCCCCGTGCCCTCACCCCAATACCTGTCACAGGGCCACCATCGTCATGAGATGGCATTGGCACAGAGCCTGCTGCAACTCCACTGGAGGGGTTTTCTGGCAAAGTCTGAGCAAGGTGAGCTCGACCTGAATCTGAAGACCAAGGTCAACTTCCAGAAGACCTTGGGCAAGTCACTACTCTTTTTTTTTTTTTAGAGTTTATTTATTTATTTGACAGAGAGAGCACAAGTAAGCAGAGCAGCAGGCAGAGGGAGAGAGAGAAGAAGGCTCTCCACTGAGCAGAGAGCCCGTTGTAGGGCTTGATCCCAGGACCCTGGGATCATGACCTGAGCCAAAGGCAGACGCTTAACCAACTGAGCCACCCAGGTACCCCTAAGTCACTACTCTTAGAGCATGAAACTCCCTACAGCCCCACAGCTTAACAGGATTAAGTTCTAAGACTGTGATCTAAAGAGGAGCCCTCCAGTTTCTGCAGGAAATTCCTGCCCAGGAAGATGAGGTTACACATAACTTTATTATTTGCCTCATGAGCATTCCAAAGAGCCATTCATCTG